CACGTCTTTTCATCCCCAACTCGTTTGTTTATTACACAAATGAGGGTTAATGTACATAATCACTAAACACCGCGTTTTGACACCTATTTTACCATTAAAGCGCTCACGTTAAGATGACTTTAGATGTCTGCGCTCCTCTGCTCGTCTCAGTGTGTGAATGAGAGTGAATGCTGACCGGCCGCATGCTTCTGACTGCGTGATCGTGCTGCACACACACATAAGCTCTTTCGCGCTTTTAAGAGCCATTTAAGAGCGTGTACAACTGGGACGTGGCAAAATATGATGCAATAATCATTTATCTCGATTAATGCTTTTTTATAATCGTTTGAAACCGAAATCTAAATCGGATATTCGATTAATTGCAAAGCCCTTTATAAAAGTGGAGCATTTTTATGCCTTTTTCTACCTCAATACTTATCCTCTCCCGCGCCTCCCCTGTGAACTCTGGCGCCCCCCTTAGGGGGGCGCGGACCCCAGGTTGGGAACCACTGGTCTAGAAGGTCGAATCGAGATCGCCATCTTTTTACGATTAATTGCTCAGCTCTAATGTAATCTTAATAATAATCATATCATCCAATCAACATATTTAATAAACATTATACATAATAATAAAAAAGAAATGGCTCCAATTGTTGCTTTCTTAAAACAACACACACACACACGCATTTGCTTCTTCACCCTTTAAGCCCGGGGTGTCATATCCAAACTTTGTTAGGGCCGAGTGTTGTGAGTAAAGGGCCATACATACACATTTTTAAAAATGTATTTATTGGAGAAAATAAAAGTGTATTAACTGTATAACATCTCTATAACACTTCATAAACCACATTTATCAAAACAGTAAGGTTTTACATTTAATTTGTGTCACAGCAGGTTTTATCTGTATCACAACATGAAATAAGCTCTCTAACCATTATAAGCATAAAACAGTGCAGTAGGCTAGCATAGAACAGTAGTCTACTTTTAAAACAATTTCATATTCAGAAAAATTGATGATAAAACAAAATGCCAACAACTGATATACCACATTGTAACAAGCAAATTATGGTTTCTGATATTGGATTATTTAACTTTTTCTTTTAGCTTTAAAAAGGCAACCTAATCATGAAATGATCCATGCCAACTGTCGATGCCTACAACTCTGAACTTGTGGATTTCAGACCTAATATGGTGGTCTGTGAGGCGTTTTTTGACCATTGTGCTAGTCCCAGAAATATTTTATCTTGTTTACATCAGAGGTGTAAAGAGTACCTGAAAAGCATACTTGAGTAAAAGTACAGATACCTTACTGTAAAAATTATAATAATAATTAATAATAATTCCTTACATTTATATAGCGCTTTTCTGGGCACTCAAAGCGCTTTACACAGTGGGGGGAATCTCCTCATCCACCACCAGTGTGCAGCATCCACCTGGATGATGCGACGGCAGCCATTTTGCGCCAGACCGCACACCACACACCAGCTGATTGGTGGAGAGGAGACAGTGATGCAGCCAATTGAATATGGGGATGGTTAGGAGGCCATGATGGACAAAGGCCAGTGGGCAGATTTGGCCAGGATGCCGGGGTTAAACCCCTACTCTTTTTCGAAGAACATCCTGGGATTTTTAACGACCACAGAGAGTCGGGACCTCGGTTTAGCGTCTCATCCGAAAGACGGCGCTCACTGAGCAGTATAGCGTCCCCGTCACTATACTGGGGCATTAGGACCCACACAGACCGCAGGTTGGGCGCCCCCTGCTGGCCTCACTAACACCACTTCCGGCAGCAACCTAGCTTTCCCATGTGGTCTCCCATCCAGGTACTGACCGGGCGCAGCCCTGCTTAGCTTCAGTGGGCGACCATGTGAGAGTTGCAGAGAGCTAGCTGCCGGCTACTAAATTACTCCATTACAAGTTACAAGTCACCAATTCTAATAAGACTTGAGTTAAAGTATTAAAGTATCCGATTTTAAAAGAACTTAAGTATTTTACTGAATGTAGGCTCAAAGAACACAGAGGAAGGTTTTATTGCCTAATATTGAAATTAAATTGAACACCTCAATGTTTCAAAATGGCAGAGCAAAATAAATAAGAAAAAAATAGAACAAAAAATCTCAAACTCAAATGTTCAAAATGGCACAAATCAATTAAAGTAGTAAAAAAAATCAGAGCTGACTTTCATGCGATTCACCTCACCGTCTCAAGGGGGGGAGGGGGGGCAATACTTTCATTTGAGTAGTTTTTCAATTGATTAGGATGTTTTCTCTGTATTACAATTAAACAAAGAGGAGCAGTGTTATTTTTCAACTTGGTAAACTACATATAAATTCAATGAAAAATACATCACAACCTCACAGCTACATGCACCTGATGCAAAATGTATAATTTCAGTAAAACGTTTATTCGCATTGCACAAAAAAAAATTAAGCTAAAACATTGTCATGTCATGTCACAGTGGTTTTTGCCAGATAACTATTAAATTAACTTCATTCACTTTAAATTAACATTAAATAGACTCTTACTTCAATGTGTTTTCTCAAATTTGATGATAAATTCTTAAAAGCACTTATTTTCGTGGTTCGTGGCAAACAAAGTAGAAACTGCATCCTGTAAGAGACATCCTGCACATCGGCAAATGAAAACTTTTCTTTCAGATAAGGCCATGGATGGTCATCAGTGCTGGCACTGCTTGATGTGCCGACTTCGGCTTCATCATTTGCTGCAGCCATGTCGCTAATTAAACACCTGGTTTTAGGCAAGCTGCTGATTCACGTTCACGTGATTTAGCTCATAAATAGCATACAGTACCTTCAGCAGCCTGCAGATGGCGATATCGCCTTGTCCGCCCAACAAATTAGCCGTGGTAGATAGAGATGACGACTTGTCGCGCACAATCACAATGTAACTAGTAACAATGAGCGTCCGTTCAAATGTAGTGGAGTAAAGAGTACATATATTCAATCAAAAATGTAGTCAAGTAGAGAGTAAAAGTTGCTTAAATTTTTAATACTCAGTACAAGTACAAAGTAGCCAAAAAATACTTAAGTAAAGTAACGAAGTCCATTTACTTAAAGGGCCATGAAACCCCCTCGTTTCAGCAGGGTGTTTTCACACCTCTACTTTGGAAAAAGTCAGAAAAGTGGGCGTGTCCAGCTCTGTTTAGGGGGTAGTGTCGGAGGAAGAAAAGAGGCATGGTGTGGGAGTGTCTATTTGGGCACGCGCGAGTTTCAGAGTCAAAACACACAACCACAGCGGACAATGTGACTGTGTTTCCATGGACATCTGTAGTCGAATTATTTGCCAAATTATTAAATGGTGGACTTTACTGCAGTTTGGCTCTTTCATTCAGGGAATTCATTCATGTCCCTCCCGACAAACGAGATATTTGATTCGAGGAACTGCTCTAAGCATGTATTTTTCATGCAATGTTTGATACCGCACGGCGAATGAGAGAAAAAAAAAAACTCAGCATTTCCCGGAAACTTAGATGCACACGGCAGGTAGCGTCAGAAAGCCACGTGTGTTATTCCGGTCACCAAATCCAACACGAGGTTATAGTTTGGTTGTAACTGTTAGTGCTAACTTGTTTACACTCGGTGCAATAGTTTGTTTGATACGAACAAAATACGAACTGAATAAACAAAGAGCACTGGTCGCTCACTTACCAAATCTGTAGAGACAGGACAATCACCAGCAACTAGAGCCGCGTCTTTTATTAAGAGGAGACTACAAGCGAATCTGGATCTCAGCGTTTGCAGATGAGAACAGCTCTCAGGTAAACAATAATCCTCCTTAGACACGTAAGTTATTGTTGTTTAGCGTCGCGTACACTGTTAATCCATGCGTGAGTCTGAGCTCTCACAGAGAGAAAATGAAAACAAAACTTAACTGCAGCAAACTATAAAAGCAACACTTCACGCTTGTTTTCGTCTCTGTCGTTTAAACACTGTGACAGTAATGAATATTAATGAAGTTGCACAATAGAGCGCGCTGATTGGTTTGAACCAAGCCTTACTCATGCATTAATGCAGCACACTGTAAGACGTAATAAGACTCACTCTGGCAGAGACGTCCAGTCTGCACACTGGAATACACGCTATTATGTCATGACCGTGATGCAGCTTCAAAAATTCGTTTCAAACCGGAAGTACGAATTTGCCTGAAATAACGCAAAAACAACCAATTTACACTTTTTAGTGAAATATAGGTGTCCTAATAGTGTTTTTAGCAGTGTGGGACACATATACGACTGTCAACAGCTCAAAAAATGTGTTTTGGTGTTTCGTGACCCTTTAAGTACTTTACACCACTGGTTTACATTTAGTGTAACGTGATGCTAACGTCATTATTAGTGAGTATGGATCAGCGCAACAGCACCACCTGTGTCTCAATATTGTAATTGTCACACACCTAATAATGAAAGTGAGCACGGGCCACTTGAACTTCATTGCTAAAACTTGTTGTCAGGCCTGATTAAATGGTTTGACGGGCCGCATTTGGCCCTCTGGCTTTGTAATTAGCACATGTGCCTTAAGCAATATTGTTTTTGATTGTCTACAGAACAAACCACTGTTATGCAGTGTCTTGCCCAAAAACCCTAACCTGCCTAATAAACCTAGTTAAGCCTTTAAACGTCACGTTAAGCTGAACACTAGTATCTTGAAAAATATCTAGTCAAATATTATTTACCGTTATCAGGACAAATATAAAATAAATCAGTGATTAGAAATGAGTGATTAAAACTATCATGTTTAGAAATGTGCTCTCCGTTGAAGAGGAATTGGGGAAAATATATGAGGGGGCTAATAATTCTGACTTCACCTGTACGATTCACCATATAATGGTCCAAATACTGCACAGAAAAAGAGTCTATATTTAAACAAATGCAGGCGACACATGACTTACGCGCAACTCAGCAGAAATGCAGAATAAAAAGCTGCTGACAGAATGAGAGCAGAGAGGCCTGAAGTCTGCAGATCTGCTGATGTTTTCATGTGAATCTCTGTGTGTTTGTGTAGTTTATGCCAGCCAGTCCGGCTCTCCAGGGCCCGTATATCCCTCCATACACTCACATGCAGACCGCCGCCGTCTCCGTGGAGGTGAGTTTGTGGCCAAAAACACTCATTAATCCAATTCACAAGCATTATACATGGAGAAATACACGCAGAGATTGTGCAGCTGGGCTCAAGTCATCTTTAAGTAGACAAACAGCAGAAGAAGTAAGAAGTAAAAACAGCAGAGCATCTAAATAAATACATCAAAGACAAATATATTGACAAACATGCTGTGTGTTGTGCAATATTAAAAAATAAGGTTTGTATAAACAAATAATAATAATATAATAATAATAACCTCACATAAAAAGTACCAGTTACATATAATTATATTGTAAACTATTGTTATTATTATTATTATTATTATTATTATTATTATTATGAATGTAATGTAAACAATATTTTGCTATTATTATTATTGTAAATGTAAATAATATTTATTATTATTATTATTATTTTATTATTATTGTTATTAGTATTATTAATTATTGTAAATGTACATGTAAACAATCTTATTATTGTTGTTATTATTATTATTTTATATTATTAATTGTAAATGTAAACAATATTTTATTATTATTATTATTATATCATTATTATTATTAATCATTGTAAATGTAAACAGTCTTTTATCATTATTCTTTATTATAAAGGTAGATTTAAGCAATCTTTTATTATTATTAATTATAAATGTTAGCAATCTTTTATTATTATTATTAATTATTATTATTATCAATTATTATTATGAATTATTGTAATTGTAAATGTAAACAATCTTTTGTTGTTATTATTATTATTATTATTAATACTATTAATTGTTAGAATTGTAAATGTAAGCAATCTTTCAATAATAATGTTATTAATATTAATTATTGTAAGTGCAAATGTTAATAATATTTTATTATTATTTTATTATTATTATTATTAATTATTTTAAATGTAAGCAACCTTTTATTAATATTATTATTATTATTAATAATAATATTATTATTATTAATCATTGTAAATGTAAACAATCTTTCATTATTATTAATATTATTATTATTTATTTATTAATTCATTAAATATTGTTTACATGTATATGGTGTTTGGTGTTTTATTGCTTAATGTACGCAATAATATATTTCAAAATTTTAATTAATGTAATTTTAAACATAAATTTATAAACTAATGCAATTTTTTTATTCCTTAATTCATTTACATAACACAACATAATACATAGTATTATAATAAATTAGTAGTATTGTTGTTGTTATTATTATTATTATTATTAATTTTTATAAATATAAATGTAAACAATCTTTTATTATTATTATCATTATTAATATTATTATTATTATTAAATAATTAAAGATTGTTTACATTTATATGTTTTTTGTGTTTTATTGCCTAAAATATGCAATAATATATTTTAAAATATTTTTTGCATTTTTAAATATTTATTTATAACAATGCATTTTTAAATATACAAATAAGAATTCTTTATAATTCTGTAATTTAACAAAAATACAGTATTCATTTACATAACACGACGTAATACATAATATTTTAAATCATTATTATTATTATTATTTTAAATAGTTATTGATAGTGTTTTGTGTATTGTGTTTAATGTCAGATGGTTTGTGCGATAAGTATTTTTATATTTTGTTGTACTTTGAATTTGTAAGATGTGTTAGGTTGTGCTGGTTGGATGCTTAAATGTGCTCAGCTAGATCTGTTTTTTGTTTTGTTTCTTTTTATTTAATTATTTTATTTATCTATTTTTTTGCTGCAGGAGAACAGTCCACAAGCTCAGGTGGAATCGTCCAGTGATCATTCACCTTACACCTATCAGCAGGCCAAGTGATGAACAGGTACACACACACAGATAAACAGTCATACAGCAGCAGTGTTACGGTCACTAGCATTAGTTCCACAAGGGGGCGCTCCATCCATTCAGCTCTCCTCTACTGTCATAACATTCGCATACATGCCATGCCATTAAAACATTTATTGGCGTTCCTGTGAATTTAGATTTTATTTTATTTTATTTCTTCAAATATTTCACAAAGGATGTTTAACAGAGATCAGGGTTTTATTTTTTCCACAGTATTTCCTTTGATGTTTTTCTTCTGGAGAATGTCTTATTTCTTTTAGCTTGTCTGGAATGAAAGCAGTTTTTACTTTTTTTTATTAGTTTTTTTAGGTCAAAATTATTAGCCCTGTTAAGATTTGTTTGTTTGTATTGGAATAATTTTGACTTATTTTAGTAGAACAGTAAGGTCTGACTTTGCTTGGACTAAAGTCTTGTCTCTTAACCGCTCTAATGTCCAGTATAGAATATAAAGTCCTGCTGCAGTGGAAACAGAATGAATATTGTGTCTGACTCCATCATGAGCTTGGAGGACTGCATCCATACATCTCTGCAATGACTCAAATCACTGATTAATAAAGTCATCTGGAATGGCAAAGAAAGCGTTCCGCAGGACTCCCAGAGTTCATCAAGATCCTTTGGATTCATCTTCAATGCCTCCTCCTTCATCTTACCCCAGATAATGCTCAATAATATTCATATCTGGTGACTGGGCTGGCCAATCCTGGAGCACCTTGACCTTCTTTGCTTTCAGAGGCTTTAACGTGGAGGCTGAAGTATGAGAAGGAGCGCTATCCTGCTGGAGAATTTGCCCTCTCCTGTGGTTTGTAATGTAATGGGCAGCACAAATGTCTTGATACCTCAGGCTGTTGATGTTGTCACTCTGCAGATCTCTCACACGCCCCCATACTGAATGTAACCCCAAACCATGATTTTTCCTCCACCAAACGTGACTGATTTCTGTGAGAATCTTGGGTCCATGCTGGTTCCAGTAGGTCTGCAGTATTGGTGATGATTGGGATGCAGCTCAACAGATGATTAATCTGAAAAATCAACCAATTTCCAAATGATCAACTAGAAGTCAAGTTATTATTTGTTGCTCTTACAACTGGGATTGACGAGTGTTGTCGTCAGGTAGTGTATTATAGCAAAGAACTCATTGTTTGTTTGTTTGTTTGTTTATTTATTTGTAGGGTCTTGTTGGTGACTGAGAGAGAAGGAGACGACTGCTAAATCAACAACAGCTTCCTTTGAAGAACCGGCTCTACCGACGAATCAACATTTTGCACAGGTTCTACGATGAGTTCCTCGGTTTTATAACAAAACTACTTTGACTATTTTTGGTATAAGTTCCATTAGGTGCAAATCAAGGATTCATTTCATCAGAGGATGCTAACAAAGAGGAAAACAAAAAGCAAATGAGAAATGGGAAGAAGAAGAAAAAAAAGAAGTTTTATTTTAATAAGGAAACAACGCTTATTTTTTACCAAGGATGGTCACATAGATGCAGGAACTTCATCATGCGACTCAAATGTGCATGGAGATCTTATTTTTATTATGATTTCAGATTTGTGTTTTTGTTTTCTCTCTCTCTTTCTCTCTCTCTCTCTTCTTTTGTACTGAAACTGATGTTTGTTTTTAGAGATTTATCAGCCGGACATCCTGAGAAAGATGCATTTGTGCTTGCGGTGTGAGTGTTGTTGGTGTGTGTGTGTGTGTGTGTGTGTGTGTGTTTTCTTTTTCTGTTGTGTGCTTCATCTTCGGTCTGACCGATCTGTCCGTCTTATACGATTTGCCTTAAAACTCTTTCCCGTACAGTAGCCGGAGACTACTGCCTTGTAAATCAGCTGAATAGGGCTTTTCTAGCATCTCGCAAAAGCAAAATTTAGCCGCCACGCTTGGATTTCGGTGTTATTTTATTTCATTGTGCTTTTTTTCTGGATCTTTTTAGAGTACAAACCGTTTCGAGTGACACCGTTGATGATGGAGTTTTTCATAGGATTTAATGTTTTTATAATCAGAGGACGACGATCCTTTGGTTGTTTGAATGTGGTAGAAATTCTGCTGAACGATCACGTTTTTGATAATTGCCTTTTATTTTTGGTTTTCGTTTAAAAGAATCGGTGTTGTAGTTTAGATTTAGATGAACTTGTGTGGGAGGAGCTTTGACGTGTATGCTAATTAGAGGGTGGGGTGCTAATTGAGGGCGTGGCCGCACATGCATATATATAAAAAGTTGGATTCGTGAATCCCCCGTGACATTTTTTCAGCAGCGGGGAGAGGTGAACGTGTAGAATATTAGTGCTCGTTTATTATGGCAGGCAAACAAATCTCGGCACTTTCAAGTTTACTTCACCAAAGACAGTCAGCGAATCGGATGGTGAGGATTAAATGTCGTTTTTTTTTTTCTATCAAGGCGGGCCATGCTGAGACTTTTTAAACAGACTAGATTGCGGTCCTGGAGAATGTGCCTTCTTTGTACATATGCATTCAGCTGTCTTTAGTTGTCGAGGAGCGGACACCGATAGCGTGAAGGACGATTCGGATCCAGCAAGTGCCACAAGCTAAACGCGAAACATCACTACAGAGCGGAGACAACTGAAACTAAAACGCGGAACGAGGACAGGTTGAAATGACGGCTTCGTTGCAAAACCCTAGTGAGCTGCCTAGGTAGGGAGCTACCTTTTAAGGGAGCATTGAAATGATTTCCATGGATCATACAGATAGACTGCACTGGAAGATAAAGAGAATGATAATAATTATTGAGAATCGTTATAGAAATAAGTCTGCACGGTGGCTTAATGGTTAGCATTGTCGCCTCACAGCAAGAAGGTCACTGGTTCGAGTCCCGGCTGGGTCAGTTGGCGTTTCTGTGTGGAGTTTGTATGTTCTCCCCGTGCTGCCATGGGTTTCCCCCACACTTCAAACATATGCGCTGTAGGTGAATTGGATGAACTAAATTGGCCGTAGTGAGTGTGTATGGGTGTTTCCCAGTACTGGGTTGCAGCTAGAAGGGCATCTGCTGCTTAAAACATGTGCTGGAATAGTTGGAATAGCGTTTCCGGTGAACTGTATGCCATTGCAAAATCTGCGCGTTTAAGGTCTGTTTTCTTCGAAAATCAGCGATCTCCACTGTCTGAGTGATATCCGATATAAATTGAGTCTCAGATTGTACAAGAAGCACTGCATTAAATTACATTTCCCCTGCAATGTTTTTTTAAAATATGAGCATTTATTTTACCCTAGTATATTCAATGGAGCTTCTACGCTAGCCTGCCGATCCTGACGGGTGCGTGCGAGTAAACGACTTTTGTCTCATTTTACGTTCGAGCAATTAAACGAATGCCAAAATCTATTTAACTGATTGTATTTTAATTACATTACAACACTGATGCTGTAAAATGAACCAAATAAAATGGAAAAAAGTCACATTAACCGTTCACCGGAAGTTTATCAATATGGAAAGAAACACTAGCTCCACATATACCCTATATAACAATTCCAGAAAATACCAGCAGCTCACTGGGTTTTTCAGCGCAGCCTTTGAAAGTAAAATCGCATCTCTTAAAGGAACAGGTTTTTATTTTATTCTCACCTCACGATATACTTTAGTAAGTAAGGCTTTATTGATTAATTTGTCTTCCAAAAGACTGTGTTTTTTGACCTGGTGGTCTTGCTGACCGGTTATCTACCTCAGAGTTTTGTTGTCCTCTGTTTTGATTGGTCGGGCTCGCAGGTTCAGCCCGCCCCTCCAGACCAAACGGCGGCTCAGGAGCTGTCCACGTACACTTGATTTTCTTTCAGGTTTTATTTTCCTCCTTTTAAAGATACTTTAATCCTCTATTTTTCTTCTTTTTCTTCAAACAAATTTTTTTTATTATCGTTATCGTTGTAAGGAAAGTTGTGCGTTGAACGTATCGTTTTAGTGTCGTTTAGCATTCAGATTCATGGTTTCAAAAGCAAAAAAAAAAACAAAAAACACTGCTGCTTTTCATCACAAGATATTCCGGGAGAGTGTAGATGGTAGATCAGAAAGTGCGCGAGAGAGAACGAATGAGAAAGAGCGATGCTGAAAGTTGGGGTTTTCCAGAGACATCACTGTTGTGTGGAAGTCTGCTCTTGTCGTGGGATATAAATATAACAGATTAGGTCATTGCAATACTTAACCTCACAGTTGTGTGTGTGTGTGTGTGTGTGTGTGTGTGTGTGTGTGTGTGTGTGTGTGTGTGTGTGTGTGTGTGTGTGTGTGTGTGTGTGTGTGTGTGTGTGTGAGTTATTAGTTTAGATCTCAATTAGTTTAGATTAGTTTCGATCTCAAAACACGTTGACTGTAATTCCAATTTTTTTTCCATGTTGGAATTCTGAGTTTAGATATCAGAATTTTTCAAGTGGTGCTCGCTGCAGAGCCATTTGAGGAGAGCTGAGCTCCATCTTTTTTGCACTTCTTTTACGAGTGATGTCACTGGGGGTAGGGTTAGGGGTGGGGTTGGTGTACGCATTAAAACAGCTTACAGGAGGAGGAGCGACAGCTCATGCTCCCCCTCGCTGGAGCTCAACTCTCCTCAAATGGCTCTGCAGCGAGCACCCTCTCGAATTTTTGGGTTTCCTCGGGGTGCTCCGGTTTCCCCCACTATCCAAACACATGCACTATAGGTCAATCGAATACACTAAATTGGCCATAGTTTATGGGTGTGAATGAGAGTGTATGAGTGTTTCCCAGTACTGGGTTGCAGCTGGAAGGGCATCCGCTGCATAAAACATATGCTGAAATAGTTGGTGGTTCATTCGGCTGTGGTGACCCCTGAAAAACAAGGGACAAGCCGAAGGAAAATAAATGAATAACTGATACCAATTTGGGATTTAGACTTTTTTTTTCCCTCATAATTTAGATTTTTGCATTTCAGGATTTTGACTTTTCAGAAATCTGAGATTACATGTCAGAATTTATTACTTTTAGTACATTTTTTTCATAATTCTGGTTTTAATTCAGAATTTCTGGCTTTTTTCCCTCAATTTTGTTTTTGCTTGTCTGAATTTTGACTTCTGAATTTAAACATCGGAAGTTGCAATTGGAAATTTTGACATTTTTTCCCCCCAAACATTCCCAAAACAAAAGTCAGAATTTACATGTCAAAATTGTAATTGTTTTCTCTTGCTGTGTTCACACTAGATGCAGAACGTGCGAATAAATCACACTATTCACTCGTAATTAGTCACATTAACACTTTGAGTTTACTCATGCATCAAATTCAATAGACACAACAGATGCGGATTCGCGTGGTGGGCAGGGCTTCTGTCTGCCCGGTGACTCTAGCTTCGTTGCTAAATGGCTAACATGGGTTTTATTGAGAGAATAGCTGTGTTCATGTGCTTTATGAAGGTGGAAAATTAGCGTTGATTCGTTTAGAGCCAGGTCTGAGTACACTAGATCCATTCAGAGGTGCACCCAGCTCTGGGAGTTCATCAACTCCGCCAGAAACTGAACCTGAATGATGGAAGCTTTCACCGTGCTTCTGACTGAGCCGAGCCATGAACTGTTGTCGGTTTCGGCAGGAGGATTTTTACCTGGGACATTAACAACAAGTGCTACGTCATAACCACGGCCCTACAAGAGAAAGCTTGTGATTGGTTAATGCGGCGCGAATGTCCGCTCGGGTTCAGATTTTCCAACTCGAGCGATTTGTGCGTGAAGCTCGTCAATCGTGCAAAACGCTCAACAGGTGCTGCTTCATAGTGCAAATCATGTCATTCGTGCCACCTCATTCGCGCATATTGTGCTGCAGGATGTCTATTCGCATCTTTGCATTGACTTAACATGTAAATCACTTGCGCTTGATGCTTCGTCCGCGTCTGGTGTGAGCGCAGCATTACAATTCTTGTTCCAATTGGGAATTTAGATTATTTTTTTTATCATAATTCTTTTTTTTTTTTTTTTTTTTTTTTTGCATTTCAGAATTTTAACCTGTCGTAATTCTAAATTTACATGTTGAATATTTAATTATTTTGTTTATTTATTTATATATATTTTTTAGTATTCTAGTTCCAATTCACAATTTGGACTTTTTTTTTCTTAAAATTTTGGTTTTTATGTGTCTACATTTTTAATTGATATATCAAAATTGAAATAGTTTTCTCAGAAATCTGATTCCAGTTTGAAATTGTTGTTTTTTTTCTCAGAATTTTAGATTTTTTCAGAATTCTGATTGCAATTCGAGAGTTTGACTTCTTTTTTTTCTTTCTGTTTTTCTTCATTATTTAGATTTTTGTGTCAAAATTTTGACTTCTCAGAATTCTGAGATTACATGACAGGCCTCGTTTATTTTATTATATTTTTTCATAATTCTGGTTTCAGTTCGAAATTTTGACTTTTTTTCTCAAAATTTCGATTTTACATGTCAGAATTGTAATTGTTTTCTAAGAAATCTAAT